TTCCAAAAAATTACGCTTCAGAATGCTGAACTACAACAGAAACAACTTAAAGAATTACTCGTAAATGCATTAAAAGGCTCAAACTCTGAAAAAAATATACAATATTCTCCCAGAGTACAATCTACAATTCAATGGAAACCTTTGAATACGTACCAGAGAACGACAAAACGTTCGACGCTTTTTTTTTGGCGCTACGAAGATATTTTCAACGTAGACTGTGAACAATGGTCCAGTAAAAAGAAGGTACGTCTACTATTGAGAAAACTGGGAACTACAGAACATAGTAGGTTCGTAGACTTCATACTACCCAAGAAAACCACTGACTTGGATTTTTCAGAGACTATTAAGCTCCTATCGGAACTATTCGGGCCTAACACAACCTTGTTCCACAAACGTTGGAAATGCCTGAACACAGTCAAAGACAACCAGCAAGATTTTCTAACGTTTGCAGCATCGGTAAACAAGCTCTGTAATGATTTTAAACTAGCCGAACTGACTGCCGATGATTTTAAGTGCTTGATTTTCGCACAAGGTCTAGTATCAGCAGAAGACGCCGAAGTCAGACGACGGGTACTGACCAAGCTTGAGAACGAACAAGGATTGACTCTCCAAAAACTGGCAGAGGACTGTCAAAGAGTAATATCTGTAAAGCGTGACTCAAACACTATCGAGGAATCAGGTGTGACTCAGATTAATAAAATCAGAAAAAAAAAACCTCCTATTCCCCTCAAAAAGACAAAAAGCAAATCTCATGTCCTAAATTCCGCAGTAACCAAAACCCAAATAGGTTAAAGAAACCGCCCGGACCATGTTACCATTGTGGTAAATGGCATTGGATGAAATTCTGTCCAGTTAAGAACAAAAAATATTGCAAAATTGCAATAAAAGTGGGCATACTTTAACTTCGTGCTGGTACGCCAACAGAACGAGAAAACCCAAAAAAAAAATTAGGCAAGCTCAATCTGACAATATTGTCGATAGGAATTTAAGAAATATGTAACTGTGGATATTTTCAATAATTCCATTAAATTCCAGCTTGACTCGGGTTCCGATCTTTCAACCATTAACTGGCGTACTTGGCGAAAATTGAACAAACCAACCTTATTAAAAACGGATAAAACAGCAAAATCCGTAACTGGCGAAAAGATTAACATTTTAGGCGAGGTAATACTTACAGTAACACTAAATGGAGTTACCAAAAAGCTCAAAGCCTACGTATTGAAAAAACTTCAGATAACTTATTTGGAACAGATTGGATAGAAAAATTCAATCTTTGGGATTGCCCAATGAGTACATTTTGTCGCAAGATACAAAGTACAACGTCCAATTTGGTAAATCTAAAAAGAACTCAAACAACAATTTCCCCAGGTTTTTTCTGGCGGCCTTGGGAAATGTACTAAAATGAAAGCTAAGTTCAAGGTGAAGGACGGTGCACAACCGGTATTCAAAAAGAAACGGAATGTCCCTTTCGCTGCTCTAGAGCAAATCAACAAAGAGTTAGATAGACTCGAAAAAGCAGGTATTCTGTCAAAAACAGATTTCAGCGAGTGGGCAGCACCTACGGTCTACGTAAAAAGAAGTCCAATCAAATACGAGCCAACGCGATCAGAAACATGCCGGCCCCAGATAACGTTCAAGCGTTACAAAGCTTCCGCGGCCTAGCTAACTTTTACCAAGGGTTCATTAAGAACATGCAAAATTTGAGAGGGCCTCTCAACCAACTTTTAAAAAAGGACAAACCATGGTCATGGACCCCGGAATGCCAAGACGCATTCGAGAAGATCAAGAAAACTCTTACTTCAGACCTCTCCCTCACCCATTACGACCCTAGTCTCGACATCATAGTCGCAAGTGATGCAAGCTCATACGGCATTGGTGCTTGCATTTTACATAAACTGCCAGATGGTTCGCGAAAAGCTGTGGCTCACGCATCAAGATCTCTAGTTCGATCTCGACATGCCCCAAGTCTCTCCTGAAGTGCGACGCTCAGGAAGGAAAAGGAAATTTACTCAACCGCTCGACGTAAATCCCAAGAGGAAAAAGTATTAACAGTTTTATTTTTTTCTCTCCTTTTCAAAAAGAAAACTCTTTGAAAGGGGGTATTGTGAGACCGGAACTACCTACACAATAGACTCTTCCAGGCCTATATTAAGTAGGCGACATAGCACTCTAGAGAGTGACAGAGAGTGACAGAGAGAGTGACATAGAGAGAGACAGTGAGAGTCGCGTACGACTACCAGTATTGGGCACTAACATATAGTAAGCTCCGCTTACACTATCTCTGTAACCTGTTGTTAATATATCTTTCTTACATCTAATCCGTGTTCCATGTTTTCCTTCTGTGGTCCCAACTTTGGCCCCACATCATTTATTTTCTCAGCTTTCCTGGTTAGTTTTCATTTTTTCACGTTCGTATTTAAAAATACATTTTCCTATGATTAGTTAGAGTATGTTGTACCTATTTTAGTTGTTAACATTGAATGTCAGGTAAATTATGAAATCTTACTTCAAATGCCAACTTAAGCAATAAAAAAATTTTATGTGTTGATTTATAGCTTCGACTGAAGACTTAACATTGTTTTCTTCCCGATCACCTTTGCTAATCTTGATTTAGTATTGAAAGAAATGTGATCGCCTTACCGTCGTAACTCATATGTTGGCAACATATGGGGGCGAATCTGCCAATTTCTATAAAAAAACATAGTTGGCAGTTGATGTGTTAATTGTACTAAGTTTTCTTTAGTTGTATGTAGAGTTTGTTAATATAACCCAATTCAAAACAAACATGCTGAAATTATTAAAATGAGAGAACTTCTAATGGCTTATGCTAGCTAAAAGTGCAAGTATATTCGCACTGAGATTTCATATCTGACCTGGAAAAAACTAAAATAGGCACAACACACTATAATCGTAGATAGACATAGGAAAATATTTTTAAAAATATGAAACTGAAATCAAGAAAATAATCAGGAACATTGAAAAAAAAATAATTAACAAAGATCTTTTTGTTTGTATCCAAACTTGTATAAATTAAAAATTGCGGACCAAATACTTTGAATTCTTTTAATTTTTCATATTTATTTATAAAAAGCTGCAAAAAAAAACATTTATGTTCACAATTGATCCAAATATGATATTATATTTGTACTATAAAAATGTCAGTACAGAAGATTTGTGTTTTCAAGGAAGATGAAACTATGTGGCTAATATAGATGTCAATGTACTGAAAAAACTATATTTTTTCTCGTGTATATATATATATATATATATATATATATATAATTTCAGTTACTTTTATGTTATTACATTTTGTCCTGTTTTGATGGTTCTAGTGTCTTGAATATAAAATGGTCTGTGCACTTTATGTCTATTACAGATGAAGCAAGTCTATGACTCTGGCAATGTCCACAACAATGTAAATGCTTGTCATCCTCCATAGTGTTAATAAAAAAATGGAAATAAGAATTCTATTTCTATACCGGGCAATAAATTGTGATTGCTTTTACACCAGTGGAAAATAACAAATTAGAGAAAAAAAAAAAGGAAGCAAAAAAAAAAAAAGATGGTCAGATTGGTTGGTGGGAAAGAAAATTACAAGCAAAAAAAAAAAAATCCCCTATTTCCAATAAGTAAATATATAAGTCTGATATGAATGACCCTAACCTCAACCCTCTCCTCTAATTTTCACTCTCTTTTATTACTCAGTGCAAGCCTAATCTGAACTCTTTCCTCCTCTCACCTTTCATTCTTCCCTCTGCCTGCCACTCCAGGTCACATAATACAACAAACATGAATCATATTCTGCTCAAGCAACAAACCAAGTGGTTCATCCCATTTTCAGAAAAGAATCTATGGAAAAACAATTTCTTGATTGGATTTTTGATTCAGAGATAGCATGCTCACTAGCACCATAGGCAAGAGGCAGAGAATGACTTGGCACAAATTGGGTTAGAAGCCAACCTGAAAAGTGTTTATTTGAGGATACCAGTAAATTAAACTCACAATGTGGCAAGCATAGTGGTTAAGGAACCTGAGACTGGAAGGTATAATATCTGACATTGTCAACTTATCTTCCAAATAAGCTTATTGCAAAAGTTGTTCTTTATATAAAGAACAAAATTTCCAATAAGCTTGAATAATAATTATGCTGTTAAAATTTCCAGCCCCCCCATCATTTGCCATATTTTGAGGATAAACATTTTATTTCTGGAATCTTTGTAAATAATGTTTTCAGTATTAATCCATTAATTATTAATAGTAATGAGTTTCTATTTTTTTATTTTTATTTTTTTAACTAAAGTTCGTCCTATACAAAGCCCAAGAGCCAGTCAAGTAATATAAGAGGAGGAAGTTGAAAGTGAAGTTATAGCAGATAGATAATAACTGACTTTAGACTTGAAGAGGTTTGATTTGACATCATTATTAATTCTGTTCTGCAAAAAAGTTTTGGGAAAAGTTTCAGAAAAACCACCTTTAATATCATAGTTTACAGGAATAATGAGGCTTTGGCTGAAAAGGTCTGAGCTGGTACATTTTCCCTTGTGGAGCACATTAATGAACCTTTGCCATGGAAGTAGTGGATTCATAAATGCAACATTGTTCTAAAAAAAATATGTAGGATGGAAAATATTCTCACTCTACAATTTGGTATAAATGTTTGTTTACTGAAAAGTAAGAATTGATCAACTCTAGCCCAGATATAGTAGTTTGCTTATTTTATTTTCATTCCGATTTTTACTAAATTCTTATAAAGAATGTAAAGAAGTTTTAAATCTTTTTGGATGCAATACCATTTTTTCCAAAAGAAATGAAAACTGATTTTTATCTAGAATATAAATTACTTGAGATTTTCTTTACAAAAATTCCTATCTATAATGGAAAGAAATTGGTAATGTCTTTTCAGCAATATATGATATCTGTTTATTAAGTCAGTTGAACTATCCAACCTCCTGATGAGTGGATAACATCTGTAAAACTTGAAGTCAGGAAGATAAAGGCCTATGGCCACATCTCATTGAAACACCAGTTCCCGTACAATCATCAAATTTAAGCAACATCGTGCCTGGTCAGTACCTATGTGGGTGACCACTTGGGAATACTAGGTGCTGTAAGCTTGGATGTGAGAATAATGCAATGGATAATGTCTCAGCATTGTTAGTTGGAGAGCCAAGTTCCAATTCCCATTGGGTTTGTTATATTCAACTATGCACAAATACCATTGGGAAAAGTATGAATCCACATCTTCTTCTTCCAGGGGAGTTAAGTTTCAAGTTCATTGAGTGTGCATGGATCTTCAATCTTGAGGTAAACTAGATGTTCCATAGTTTGTGATCGCCTGCATTGACAGTTGGGATCAATATGAATCACTATTTTCTGGCTTTGAATAACCTGCAAAGGGTTGATAAGCTGTATAAAACAAATCAATCAAATAGTGATTAGGTACACAGCTAAGTCTTTTAGATTTATTTACATTCTCTGGAATATAAAGGTATAGAAAGGCTACAAAGTAAAGTATCAGTTTATATATTGATTGTAAGACAGAATTGATCCCCCACTTTATATCCACATTATAATTTTTGTTTGTTTATCAAATTCTGATTAAAGGTAGCAGTTCAAGAAAAAATGCCCAGAATAGGCAAACAGGAAAGGTGTTTTTTTTTTCCATCAGGATAGTACATGAACTCACATTTCTTTGGTGACCCAGCAAAAATTGTTGCAGCTTGGGTGGGATGTGTTACCCCACCCACCATATTTGCCCCTTCAGATTTTCATTTATTCAGATTCTTGCAAAATAATCTCAAGGGTAAACATTTGTATGATATAAAACAACCTTTATGAGTTCTTTGCCAAGAAACCACTGAAATTCTGGGAAGATGGAATCTTTATGCTGAAGGAAAAATGAAGAAAGGTTGTACAGCAAAATAGTTCTTAGACATCACTGGAAAAGACTAAAACTTAAGAAATCAGCTCATATGCTAGGCCAAAAATATCTGAGCCAACCAAGCATAGAAATGAATAAAATATGGGAACCCATAATAAGGAGTTCTAAAGAAAAGCAATGAATAACAATACAAAAATTGCAATATAAGTTCTGATAAAAAATATGTAATAATAATAGCAGAAAAATTGCAATATGAGCACTGGTAAAAATTTTTATTTTCACATTAGGTTTATAAGTCCCAGAAATTCATACACAGATTCTTTTCAAGGACACATGGCCCAGTGGATAAAGACGTTAACAGATTCAGTGACTAGGACCCAAAGATTTGTGAGTTCAAATTGAGGCTTTTGTTGAGTTAAAATATAAATAAATCTGAGACATCTCCTTTAGACATGGCACGTGGAACTAGAACAATTTACTCTGGTGGACGAAATAAAGAGTTTGGTTTGAAATTTCAATCACCTGAAGAAGGCCGGAGCATACAATGGCCAAAACGTTGTGAATATTGCAATGAAGATGAGGATAACAGCCTGAATAATGTAAATAAACATAATAACTCATCTCAGAGATAGACATTTAGTTGAATAAATATTTAAGGGCATAATTTTGTTTTTTGCCTTAATTTCCCTTAAAAATCAGCATGGACTCTCCAGACAACCCACAGTACGAAGATAATGAAAAAAAAGCAGTTAATTATTGAAATCTGAAGTAGTGTTATCAATGTTGGATATTATGTATATTCATTAATATATACTTATAGCTATGTTTCATAACATTGAGCACTTTATTTATAATTCCTGAGGAATAAATATACTTATGTACGTGCAAGTATTTATGCGTGTATGTACATTTTTTATCCTACCCATTCCTAGCTGGCTCCAGTTCTCTTCAAACTATATAATTATTGCCTCACTGACTCTTCCTTTGCTAACCTGTTGGATGTCCTCATCTGTTGTCTCTGTTTTTAAGAAATTTGGAGACCCTTCTGACCCATCTAAATACCATCCTATCAGTCTCCTACCACTCTTTGGCAAAGTCTTCAAGGATTTAATCAATGCTGAAGTAGTTAAGTGCCTTACCTCTCATGATCTACTGTCTGACAAACAATATGGTTTCCACTTTGCCTGGTCTGCTGCTGATGTGCTTAAAGGCCATAACCGAATTTGTATACCAAGCTCTTGATAATAATGACAAAGCTTGAGCTGTGGCTCTAGATATCTCTAAGGTGTCTGATAGGGTTTGGCATGCTGGCCTTCTATGTAAGCATCAGGAATATGATATTACAGGATGATTATTTGATTTAATCCAATCATTCCTGTCAAACCGTGAAATAAAGGTTGTCCTAAACAGGTTCTCTTCCAGTTCCTTTCATACGGATGCTGGTGTTCCCCAAGGCTCTATCCTGAATTCTACATTGTTTCTGATCTTCATCATCAATTTTCCTGATGTCATCAGTTCTCAAGTAGTAGGCATCTTCTCAGACAACACTACCATTTACTCCTGTCAATAGTAAATCCGGCATTGCTGACAAAGTTAACCCTCCTATCAGCATGGCTGATGCTCAACTTCATGAGAGAATCTCTCTGCAGCATCTCACATTTTCCACTGACCCAAGGTGGAACAACTACATTGAATCAATAGCTTCATCTACCACAAGGAAAGTTGGTTCCCTGTGTTTTCATGGTTTTTTTTTTTGATTGAGACCATCCATCAAATCTAGCTTCATCTACCATTTGTCCATATATTCGCTGGTGCCCCCCTCCACCACGTGCTGTTCATCTCAGCAAAATCCAAAGATGGATATACACTGTGATAGGTCCTGACCTGGCATCTCAATTCCAGTCATTTTCTTACAGACATGATGTGGTTTTCCTCTGTCTAATACAAATATTTTCTGATGAGCTATTTTCACTGGTCCCCCAACTGTATGAATTTAAGTGTGCAACGAGGTTGGTATCTTGGTCCCACCTTTTCACTGTTGAAACAGTTAAATGTAACTGCCTCTTCTACTCAAGCAGCTTCTTCTCTTGCACTTCTTGACAGTGGAACTCCGTTCCTCTTACTTACTTCCCTGATAGCTATAATCTTCAAATATTCAAATGTAATGTCAATCGAAATCTTCTGATGCCTTGATTTTGATCCCCATCCTTCTCTTCATCCTTTCCTCAAACACCCCTCTTTACTCTTACTTTCACTCTCTGTTACCCCTTGTATGCTAGTGGCACTCCTGCCTTGCTTGGAAAAAAAAAATGTTTTTTTCTGTTTTTTTTTGAATTTGTAGGTCTGATGAATTTCTGTATTTACGATTCCAATGGAATAAATTACAGACCATGGAAAATTAGTGTTTAAGCCTTTTTTACTATATCCTTACTCTGTCCTGGACATTGAGTTCTACCTGGATTCTTCCTCTTGAAATTTTTTTTTTTTAAAAATATACATGTATGGGTATTATATATTTTGTATATGTATGTATATTTGTCACTAATATTATCTATCTATCTATCTATCATATATCTATCATATATATATATATATATATATATATATATAAAGGTGGACACTGGATGTTAACACCAACTGGTCTATTTCATGCTTGAATACAATCTTCAGGCTTGAAACAGACTGTTGCAAGTTGGTGTTGACCTCAGTGACCACTTTTATATTTACATACACTCTATCATTTATATTGAGCCCTTTTGCCCATAAATATAGTATACATTAAAACTATATATATATATATATATATATATATATATAATTCAAATAATGATAATGGATACAATTTAACATTGTTTTTCCAAGTCAAAGTCATTTCAAAATCAGGTATAGACTAATGGATTTTAAAATCGGCTTTAAAAACATTTAAAATCCTGGTTTTTAAGTTCTTATATTATAGTAAAATTGATCTTCAGATGCTGGAACCTGAAGATCAATTGTATCATCTTTTTTGACCATATTACCAAAGAGCTTGTGAAGACTGTGAGTGTTTAAGTGATATTGAAGTTAGATGTGATTTTTTTTAAATGGCGGTGTTTATCGAACTTATATAAAAACACAGCAGAAGTGATAAAATTAGAATCTCTTTAGTTAGAACGAATGATGTCTTTTTCTTATTGAGCAGCTACACCAAACCCACCCAGTGATTCACAGAACCTTACTTGGTGAGTTAAGTTTCAAGGTCATTGAGTACATGGATCTTTAAGATTGGGGCAAACTAGGTGTTCTATAGTTTGTGATTGTCACAACATCAGTATCCTCATTTCTGAAGGTCGACTCTACAGCGATTAGTTCACAGCCATGGAGTGAATGATGAGGGTCAATTTTCTGCTTCAACTTCTAGAGTTGGGAGTGGATTGTCCTTATCCTACCAGATGTTTTGATTTGAATAAAAACTGAGAAGGATATTATAAAGGAAGTTTTATAAGGAATCGCTACACAATTGCAGCCATGTTTCAACACATGACAGTGCATCTGCTCAGGCGATTGTAGATTACTGTTGAGTGAATGATTAATTTGGTTTCAAAAGTGAAATACATGCTCATTTTATAAAAAAAAACAAAATTAGAAAATAAATAAAGTAGAGGCTTGAGGGCTTTTCCCCTAATTAACCAATCAAATATGACCTATATTAAATTTAAATTAAGTGAAAAGAAAAAATTAGAAATTATTATCTTAAAAATGTGTCAAAATATATATATATATATATATATATATATATATATAAATTAAAAATTTGATATGTCCCGGAAAGGGATATATTTGAACGAAGTAGCTAAGTGGTTTTGGCTACTATAACCAAGTAGAATATGATAGCAGTAATCGACTGGTACGCGTTGTAATCGCAGGTAAGAAGTGTAGATCAATGGTGTAGTCCAATGGTTGTCGTTATAGACTTAGCTCTCAGACTAAGGCTATGACTCTGGCTGGTGTCCATCATAAATACTGACAGACGTGTAGGTATGACAATCATATTCCAGTGAGGGGGAACACAGGTGTATGCATATTCCATTATATCAAAATTATTATCAGTAATAATTATATAGAAAAAATTAGAGTTATTATCTTACAAATGTGTTATATAACATTTAAAGTTTACAAGAAACATATCCAATGTAAATGAATTGGTAGAATTGGTAAATACAGTATAAAATGACGTATTTAGTTACTCTTTGTTTCATTTTTTTTTTTTTTGAGTTACTTAAGTCACCCCAGTGTTCATATTGAAGTTGTTTAAGATTTAGTCAAATTTGGTACTGTTGCTATGAAATGAGATACTTACGAAAAATAAAAAAAAATTTTGCATATAGCACTATGATTAGTTGCTGAAAATAGAAACGCAGTAAATAATAGTCTGATGTTTGCCTTTTCATGTATTTGAGACATTATCCAGTAATAACAAATGGATAAATTGGAAGCTCAGATCACAGGAACTTTTTATTTGAAAACTGCTACAACTGCTATATTAGAGGCTTAATGTCATGTTTCGGTCCTAAGGTAAATGGTTCATCAGCACTATTGACTGAATTGTCCCTACAAATGCATACATACATTGTTGGTGTTTGAAAATCAGATGCTTGACAAGAGTACAACTGACCACCAGAGGGTAAGGCTTATTTAAATCTCATTTGAAGAGCTTTCCTGTCTGTATGTGAATGCGGCATAACAAGGCTAACTGACCTCATGGGTAATAGTCCTTCACTTCCTGCAGCCTAGCATATAATTTTCAACATACTCTTATATACAGATGTATGTTCTTATACACAAGGTTCTTCTAAAAAGTGTAGATACAGTGAAAAATGAACGGGAACTAAATTTAGTATGGACCTTTACTGCTACTCTTTAAGAGCGGTGTTCTTTGTAAAATCACTATATACAAGCTCAAGGAGACAGTAAAAACTGGTTGTAGGTGAACTAATTATTTTTAGCTGTCAAATTTCCTGAGCTTTTTTACTGGTAGTATACATATACAGAGTGCAATGGGTAAATTGTCGCCAATTTATATTTTTAAGTTCATGCTTGATCATTGTTTTTGATTTTGTTGACTGACTGTTACAGTAGAGTCAATTGGGCACTGTCTGTGAGAAAAAGATGCAATTCACTCTGCTTGTGGCTGAAAATCTACCATGTCCAACAGATTTACTGTGCTTCCATGGAAATAAATGTGAGGCATTACTTTTAGATCAACCATCATAGATCAGAATTTAATCTCTTCATCGTTCTGTCTGCAGATTCAAATCTAATCCGATATCTCAGAATACGTAAGAAATGAATCACTTTATCTTGCACAGTTCTATGTTACCCAAATGACCCTTTCTACGAGAGTTCAGATATGGGATATTGAGTATCTAAAAAAAAAGAAAATCCTATCAACATTGACAGAAGAAAAGAAATAAAGGGTGCGATGGTTAAACTGTCGCCATTTTATATTTTTAATTTCAAACATGCACATTGTTTGCTTTTGATTTTGTGGACTGCACATTATAGTAGAGTCAGTTGGGCACCATCTGTGAGAAAAAGAGCACCATGTCGCAATTCACTCTGCTAGAAATTTGGAAACAACATGCTGAACTGCTTGGCATTTGTGCTGGGAGCTTGAATACAAACATTTCAGTGTTTGGGCATCAACAGTGCAGAGGATTTGGAAAGAGTTGGATGAGTCACTAGTGATGGCAACATTATGCCTTCATCCATCTTCCTACAGGGCCTCAGACTCAACATGGAGGCCTTCATCAAGTCCCTTGAGGTCGTAGTGTTGCTCTGTCAATCAGCATTAGTACATATTAATATAATAATTGGAAAAATATAATGTTTATATGTGAAAACAATTGGATAATAGTAAAAGCTTAACAAAATATGCTATCTTCTTTGCTGTATTGCTAAGCTAGCTAATACATAAATATTATAAAAATAGCTAATATTATTATTTTAATCTAATAATAATAGAAAGACATGATAATAATTTGGAGTTATCAGTCTGATATAAAGAGGAACTCAAGAACAAATCAACAGAATCCCTATGGTAAATGGTTCATCAGAACTATTGACTAAATATCCTTACAAACACACACATGTATTGTTGGTGTTTGACAGGGGTACAACTGACCAACAGAAGTTAAGGCTTATTTAATTCTCATTTGAAGAGCTTTCCAGTCTGTGTGTGAATGTGGCATAACAAGTAATAGTCCTTCACTTCCTGCAGCCTCGCAAATAATTTCTCAATAATCTAATATATACAGTTACTGTTAAATGTGATATTAATGATTTATGATATATGGCTACACTGTGAAAGCCAAAAGGTAGTTCTAAGAAGAGCCCATATCCTGTGGACAACTTTGTCCAGTTAAGTTTTTCTTTTAATAGATGTCTTTTCTTTAAATTGAAACAACAAAAAATCCTTTGGTTATGCTGGGTGATGTTCACCAAGAGAGATCTTGGTGAACATGACTCTCCACAATTTTCTGTATTTTGTAGCTCTTAATAAATTTTGTCTCTTTGGTGCTTTGGGTCTATATAATGATATTTACAGTTTCTGAATCCTGTTCTAACATCCATTTTTCAAAGTAGTTTACACATTGTTTTCCTCTATCTATCCCTCTTGCCTTCATTCTGTCCTGTGATTATTAAATTTTCAAAGCCCTCTTTTATGTACATAAAAAATTTTCAACTCTTTCTGATTCCATTTTCCATTTTCTGATTCCATTTTCTTTTAAAAATTGTTGTTGCTTGCAATTTTGGTTCATGGTATTCTCAGCATCCTTCTGTAGGAGCACATTTCTGTTGCTTCAAGTCTCTTCTTCATCTTTGAGGTGATTGTCCAGCATTTATGACCATACAGAAGGACTGATACTACATAACAGTTCAGTATACTTTTCTCTTTATATTAAGCTTAACTAGCAGTGCCAGTAGTTCTTTTTGAAAATATTCTTAAATTCAGACTATATTATGCCATGTAGATGATTTAATCTCTAGAGCTCAATTTTCTGCATTTTGTGAATTTTCAAAAATCATGTTAATGATTGTATTTTCAATGTTCTTAATAAGATTTGTTAAATTCTCTATCATTTTTTGAAAAACAAACTTGTTCACCAATAGACCAGCCTCATCACAAGAAATGTCTGTGAAATACGATTCTTTTTCAGATTATATCTTTGAGACATGTCAAATTGGAACTTTTCAAAATTATCTATATTTATCAGATGATGGCATGTACTCTGAATCCATCAGAAAAATTCAGGATATGGAATTAGTAAATACTAAGCACTTTAAATATATTGGTGTATTTTTTTTTAATTGGTATCACCCCATACAAGGCAGTAAAGCTCCTAAAACACAAGTTGTAGAGGAATTAGGAATAGAAACATTAATAATGAGTGGAAAGAGAAAAGAGTAATCAAGAGGAAAAAGTAATTGTTCAGATGAGCTCTTTGCTATGGTATCTATACTTTATGAATTTAAGTGCAGTACTAGATTAGTGATAAGGTCTTGCCATTTTACAGATGAAATGGCTAAATGTAACCATAAGTTTTATGCTAGCAGTTTCTTTTCTCGCACTTCTCACTTGTGGAATTATCTTCTTGTTTCTTGCTTCCCAGTCAACTTTGATCATCAAAAATTTAAATGCAATGTCAATTGTTATATTCTGTCTTCTCAGTTTCTATTTTATTATTCTTATTACCATAAGCCTTCATTCACTCAACTGGAAGATACTATCAGAATTTAAGGAATAAAATCCAAATATTAAGGAATGTTTGAAGTTTCATGTTGAATACTTCTTTCTTAATAGTATTTTTTTATATTCTATAACACTCAGTAACCTCTTGCATCCTAGTGGCTTTATTGCCTGGCTTGGGATGAAATGATTTAAAAAAATGGCCATGCACCTTCACTCAACTGGAAAACACTATTGGAATTTAAAGAAGAAAATCCAAATACTATGGAAGGCTTGAAGTTTCATGCTAAATGCTGAACTCTTCTGTTTTAATTGTTGTTTTTCTCATATTCTCTAACATTCAGTAACCTCTTACATCCTAGTCACTGTATTGCCTTGTTTGGGTTGAAATGATTAAAAAAAATATAGCCATAGACCTACCTTCACTCAACTGGAAAATGCTATTGGAATTTAAGAGTAAAACCCAATTTAAACATATTTAATTTTTGGCAGTGTTGATTATTTAGTGACAACCAAAGAGGTTGCATAAAAATGAAATTACTTTCTGGTATTCCTGATATATAATCTTAATAATAAGTGATTACATAATCAAAGCAAAGACCTACCTGATATATGACATCTGGAGCTGTTTGAAGTTTCATGCTAAATGCTGAACTCTTCTTTCCATTACCCGATTTGTCTTCCTGGTACAATCCACGTCTGCATTTCTTTCCGTGTGTGCCTTTGCCAGTGTCTGTATCCACTGTCCGAGCATTGACTCCAGTATTAATAAGATGCCTTTGCTCGCAGACTTTGATGGAAGTCTTTCCACTGCTCCTATTCAAGTTGTTTTTTTTATCTTTGCATCGAATAATGCATATCGACACAGCAGCTGTGATAGGGACGGACACAGTCACGGCCACCAGTACCATGACAATCATTACATACTGATGGATCTTATCATCAAACTTTCCCTCATCAGCAGTCAACATTTTTAAGGTTTTATTGCTGACAGTTAATATTAGAAGTATAGTTGTATTTGCAGACAGTGGTGGGGTACCGCTGTCCTTGACAATAAAACGCAGTTCATAGGATCCAGCGTCATATTTAGTGACGACCCGACTGAAGGACAACAGACCGGTGTAATGGTTTATGGTGAACAGTAGCTTGTCATTTCCAGCAGCTAGCTCATATTTCAGAAAAGCGTTCTCTCGACTGTCACTGTCAGATGCCTTCAGAGTAGTTATATTGCTAGTTTGGTTTGGGTAGTAGAGGACTTTAAGAGTGAAAGGGCTAATACTCGGAAATGTAAAGTATGGGGCATTATCGTTTAAATCTCGGACCTTAATGATGACATCCACTGTATTATTAAGAGAAGGAGTTCCGCTGTCTTTTACAAAAACCTGAAATTTATAAATATCCTGAAATTCATGGTCCAGTGAAACAATGGTGGTTATTAAGCCACTGTCTGAAATTTGAAATGGAAGGAATTGTTTCTCATCGGCCAACAGGGAATAGGTCAGTTTACCACCAAGTCCCAAGTCTGGATCTGTAGCATTGATATACCCTACTGGGTAATTAGACTTCCGGTTCTCAAAGATCCAGAATTTAAATGAGTTTCTTGGAAACTGTGGCTGCACATCATTGACATCAACTACTTTAATGGAAAATTTACTTTCACTATGCAAGGGTGGTGATCCTTTATCTTGGCAAGTTATGGTGATATCATAATGGTCAAGCTTCTCTCTGTCAACTGGATTTTTCACAATCAATTTGTATTTCTTTGGACCCAGACTTTGTAGTAAGAACTTATCATGCTGCAGTACACAGCTGACTTCTCCATTCCGACCGACATCATTGTCAGTTACTTTTACATATGCAATGAAACTGCCAACTGCTATGTTTTCAGATATAGTGGCTGTACTTCCCATTGGTGCAGATACAAAATTTACATCAATTGTTGGAGCATTGTTTTGCTGGTTGATTACATTCACCAGAACAACTGCGATCGAACTAAGTGGAGGACTGCCTCCATCTGAAGCTTTTACATATAATTTATAAATTAACTCCTGCCCCAATGTAAACTTTCTGTGAAGGAAGATCTTCCCAGTTGCTTCATTCAGTCTAAAGTGTGCTCTTGCAATATCGGAAGTCTGGGAACTGAAACGGTATGTAATTTTGCTAAATGTCTTTGAATCTCTATCTCTTGCTGATAAAATAACCACGGGGTTTGTATCACTCGGCTCATTCTTTATAGATATATTATAGACATCTTGGGAGAAAACGGGAGGATTATCATTTAGATCAGTGACAGAGATGTGCACATCTAAGACACTTTGCTGAGGTGGCGATCCCCCATCTTTGGCAATCACTTGAATATCATAAGAATCCTTCACTTCTCTGTCCAACCTCTCTTCTAAAATAATATTAAGCTCGGAAGTGCCGTCAAGACTTTTAGTGATTGACAATGCAAATGGTTCATTTTTATTCTTTTTCAGTTTATAATTAATTTGAGAATTCAGGACTCCAACATCTTTATCAATGGCATGTGGAATCAACCTTTTGGCTCCTTTAGGAGACTCTTCCGAAAATTCAATACTAACTTTTCTTTCCGGAAATTCCGGCTCATGATCATTCACATCTTGGATAACAACTTTCACTTCAAGAATCTTTATAAAAGATTCTTGCCGTCGAATGGCGACATCCAGTGTTTGGAAACATTCCCGATTACGTTTGCACAGTGATTCAACATCCAGAGTCTGGGCTGTGTATAGCTTTCCCGTCTTTTTGGCGATGTGGAAGAGTGCAGAAGTGTCTGTTGTGCTTTGATGCATTTGGTTAAAGGTAATCATGTTGTAGTCTTCAGGTGGGATGCTCTCCATCACATGCGAGTCTGCTGCAATGTCCCCAATGTAATTACCAGGGCTCTTTCCTTCTTCTACATAATAGGTGAGATCTACACAGAGACAGATTTGCAGGACAGACAGCAGCCCGCAGAGATGGAACAACATTCTTCCAACTCAAAATCAGGTACCAGGAGTAAGCATCAAATTTGGTCAAATGGGAACACTTATCAAATCATCTGCAGAAAGAAAAAAAGGAAAAAAATGGTTAGCTGAATTTTGATCTGAAATTTTCACTGTATAATAATTGATCTGTGTGATTAATATTCATCACAAAAACAAGTGCATTAACAAAGGAGAATATTATAAATTTTTTTTGTGTAAGATAAATGATATTTTTTGCATCATTAAGCTTATTGATATATAAGAAATAAACCCTATTTTCAACACAATTACATATTGTTCAGAAAAGCATTCTCTTGACTGTCACATGTTTTATTATATTAAAACACACCCAAACTTAATTTTCTATCAATATTCTGGGTAATATTTGCAAACATATCAAGAAGATTTAATAATACAACACACATTGTTTAAATCAAAATGTCTATTGGTTAGAAATTAACATCATCATTTAAATTATTTGACCAATCTGTGAGAACGAAAAACCTATTTTTCTCAAGCCTACATTCAGAAAATAATTTCTTATAAAAGCCCACCAAGAGATGCGGTTGTCTTCAAGCCATTCAAGCATAAGAGAAGACATGGCTACATCACTCCCCCACCCTAGCATATGCTGAAATAAACATGTGTTGGCTACTTCAAACAAATCAACAACAGCTTGGACGATCAACGAATCTGACTTTTCTAAATTTCAGCTTTTTCTGTGGACCAACTACCCAAAGATTTTAACTCAACTAAAGACTATTTTTATTCCTCTTTCACTTTTTTGAATTCATTTATATATGTTTGTAAATACAAATGATTTATTTAACAGGCATACTCATATTTTTATTATTTTTTGAAATTCGGACATTCAGATTTTTAATATAAAAAAACTTGGGCAATGGAAATTCTTACAGAATATTTATGTATGTGGTAAATATATAAGACAATTTCAAAACTTCTTTTCTGACACATTTCACAAATGAGTATACTGTTTTATTTAAATTAAATCTACATTTTCAAGAGAAAACTTGTGTTTAGCATATGAAGACTTGACTAAATTGTATGATCACAGAAATTAGATTTTATTTCGTCTTTGTTTTTGTTTTTAATTGGTATCACCCCATGCAAGCCAGTAAAGCCACTAAAACACAAGGGTTTACAGGATGTGGAAGAATTAGAAGCAGAAATATTAATAATTAGTGGAAAGAGAAAAGAGTAATCAGGAGGACAGTAGATAGCGATTGACATTGCATTTACATTTTTGCAGATTAAAGTTGGCTAGAAAGCATGGAGCCAGAAGGGAGTTCCATAAGCGAGAAGTGTGAGAAAAGAGCATTTTCTATTAGCATAGAAATTACAGCTACATCTAGCCAGCTCAAATGTCATCTAATTCAAGAAATTAGATTTTAATCTATTTCAATTAATTCGGGCTTATGGCCATATTAGGTTGAAAAAAAAAAAGGGTTCCTGTATGATCACTGAAGTTAAGCAACAGAAGTCTAGTTGGTACCTAGATGAGTGACTGCTTGGATGTGCAGGTTGTGTAATGGATAATGGCTCAAGATTTGGAAATCTGCTCTCCGATTTTCCAATTCCAGTTGGGTTCATTATACCAGTTTGAAAAACCAGTTCCTGTATGATTGCTGAAGTTAAACATCATCAAGCCTAGTCTGTACCTAGATGAGTGACTGCTTGGGCATACAAAGTCCTGGAAGCTTGGATGTGCAGGTGGTGTAATCAATAACTGCTAGGAATTGGAAATCAACTCTCAGATTTCCAATTTCAGTTGGGTAAATTATATTCATTTATGCACAAATAGCCTTGATAAAGGTATGAATCTACCTCTTCTCCCATCAGTTAATTAGTATTACTTATATCAGTAAATCATTATTATCTTCAAAAAACAAGGTTTGTATAGTTCCCATTGTTTCAGTATTAATTTAATAAGAAGTGATAAAATGAAATAGCTTAGTCATTTATTTAGTGTTTTTTCACATGAGGATTTGGGAATGTATTTACATACTGATTGTTTTAGATAACCAAACATTAGATTTTTTTAAGAATGGATTCAATAAAGGTTAGTAATGTAATATAATATTTTTGACATGTATTTATAGTTGGTAATATTGTTATTAGTAATTTCTCAAAGTACTTTCAACATAAAGAATTGTTCTTTGTTTAATTAGGCTGGTATTTGTGAAATGAAAGTTATGGTCAGTTTTCATGATGTCTTTCCAATATAAATTCTTTTACATTGGAAGTAATTTATTTGATAAGTACCAGCATCTGAATTGGTGTTGGATTTATTTTTCTTCCTAATTATATCTCTGATTCTCTCATAAAAACCCACAGATTTTGACTTTCAGGAGCAGAGATGCTGCTGTCTCCAAGCTGTTCAAGCACATAAGACATGACTACATTGCTTTTTACTCCCCACTCCACCACCAGCACATCTTGGATGTGCAGGCTGTGTAATGGAGAATGGCTCAAAATTTGGAAATCAGCTCTCTGATTTTCCAATTCCAGTTGGGTTCATTATATCAGTTTGAAAACTAGTTCCTGTATGATTGTTGAAGTTAAGCAACATCAAGCCTAGATGAATGACTGCTTGGGAATAGCAAGTCCTGGAAGCTTGGATGTGCAGGTGGTGTAATGGACAACTGCTTCTGAAAGACTAGTCATTTATCAAATCATTTGCAGAAGGATGATTATTGCCATTTCAGGTTGAAAAAAAAAACGGTTCTTGTACAATAATTGAAGTTAAGCAACATCAAGTCTAGTTAGTACCTAGTGTAATGGATTATGGCTCAGAAATGGAAATCAGCTCTCCGATCTTCAATTCTAGTTGGATTCTTTATATCAGGTTGAAAATTTTCTTTTAATTTCTATTAAGAGCTACAAAGTGCTAAACCAAAAACATGTAATTCAGATGCTAGTCCAGATATTTTTACATTTATTTAAAGATTTTAGAAAGGGTGCAC